AACAAAATCATTCATTTGAAATTTTTAGGTGAAATAAGTGCACTCAGAAAAAAATTAGAAAGCCTAAATTTTCAAGCTAAGAGTTATTTATTATGTGTTTTTGCACAGTTTCAGCTTGTGTACAATAAATAAAATGGTCACATAGAACCATAAGATACAGGTAATTGATTTTTCACAGTTAAATCTTGAACATGTACTCTATCGTGTTTCCTCCTCCAGTCTATTTTAATAGCCTTTACTCTGCAGCAGACCTCAGGAGCTGGTGTTGTGGCTTTATAAAATAATTGTTTTCAGTAATAAGTTTGTTTATAGGGGGCATTAAAACGATGAGCATGCAATAACAGGAATGGTTTGAGAGCAATAAGAGCAGAAAAGAGATGAACTCAGGTCAGTTATCTTGTGACAAAAAGAAACAAATACTTTAAAAGCCAAGTTATAGTCCAAGTTTGCAGTCACTTCATATGACAACAGTGTGGTGAAAATTTACAGTAGGAAAATTGATGAAATCGATCATGTTTTGTTGACTAAATGAGGTTTGGAGGTTATAATTTGTGACCTGTGTTGATAAAATGAGTCACAGAGAGGAATATTTCCTTATTGAGTTATTATGGTTTTTTCAATTCTTCTGCTCCAAATCTATAAAATGATATTTAGTTTGTTCCAATTTAGCAGTTTAAAACCTGGCCTGGCAACAAGTTGGCTTTGTTTACTAGTGTTAATATAAAAACTTGATTTTTATTGGTTTATAGTGATGTCATCAGGAACTTCAGTCCTATATTTTATAAAGGGATTGCCTAAGCTTCCTTCCTGAAGCTATAGCAACCAGCAAAGAAAAATGGTCAGTTTAATAAGAGTTATAGAACAAAGGATTATTTCTGAAGCCACACCTGTTAAAAAAAACATATTTAAAAGGTAGATTGGAAAGAATATTTGCTAATTTAGCTGGCAGGGTTGTTAAATGTTTTCCTTATGGACTCATTTATATGCAAATCTTAATTATGGGGGAAAATTGTAATTTTACTGAATTTGCACATCAGCCTGAACTGATGCTGACACATTTTACAGCATGTTTGTTGGAAAATTATCAAGCGACTGAGTTTGCCCATGACATACTTTCTATATCATAAAACTATAATTGATGATTGATAGTTGACATCTGACTGCTTGATTCATTCCTTGGTGATAAAGCAACCCATTCATTGACTTCATTTCTGTGTTTTCAGTTCACTTTTTATGCACAAATCTGAAATCTCTATATTTTCTAAGGGATTTCTACTGGGATCTTTTGATGTGGTATAGCCAGCAATAATGCTCGTGACAAACCCAACTATCTTGGAAATATGGGTAAAATGAAACTGAATCTTATATTTGGTGTTTTAATTATGGTGCAAAGATAGATAATAGAATAAACACATTCAACAGTAAATTAAATATTTAAAATGATTTATGTAATAGTTAACTCATATAAAAGGTGTGCTTCCATCTATAGGTATAAAAACTGCAAATTGTACATATAAAATGTGTTTGTTTTTTACAGAAGTGCTCCAGCCTTTATTGATTTATTGCATCTTGACCATAATTTTTGCACATTTATGCTGCAGTTCTTATACTCTAATGAAAATGGATCAAATTTTGGCTCCATTGCTTCGAATAATGATTTGTTTCTCCTTTCATGGTGGAGTACATTAGTGGTGGTGGGCGCCTGTGCGCTAACATACATGTGAGTGTCAGGCACACAAATGAGAGGTTTGTGTGTGTTTCCTATGGGACGGTGCCAGCATGTAGCATTAACACGACAGGCCCTGAGAGGACAAGGAGGTAGCAGAGCTGTCAGCGGCCAGCTCCCACTCCGCCTAATGAGAGAGTGGCCCGTTAATTAAAAACACCAACAGGCTGAGCTCCCCAGTGTCCCACCATCAGGACYACCTGGGGTTAAAGACTCAGAGCAGAAAGGATGGAAGGCGTGCTGCTTCCACATACAGCATAGTGTTATCCCCTCACAGACAGAGGRGACCAGAAATGGAAAGATGGTAGAAAGTTGTTTTACCCTTCAAACTATATTGTGTTTGCATCTTTTGGAAACAACATTTTAATGCTTTAACTTTGATGCTCAGTGAACAAACTGTTGGTCTTTTTACACTAGTTTGCTGCAAAGACAGCAGTAAACTGTCTAAACCTGCATGACAGTGTCTGAGGAGGGTCTATCTTTGTGTTCATTTAGATTTCTTTAAGCTTCAAAATGTGTTATGAAAGCTACAATTCAGATTTTGTGGAAAGGTCATAAACAGTTAATATCTTACCTGTTGAACATAGTTTATTGAAAGACAAGCTAATAGCTGCTCTCCTTCAAACATGTCTCAAACGTTTAAGAATAGTTTACATTATGAGAGCTATTTTATAATGTTTTCATGATCTCCAACCTTGCACGTTACTGAGCTCGTGAGGGGACATGGGGGGCTCTTTTCTTTTTTTGCGTTCCCACGCAAAACTATTGCGTTACCTTGCCATACCTTTTGCGTTTCCTCACTAAAGTCGTTAAACACTGTTGTGCCTGCTGGTTTATTAACAAACTCACATGTTTACCGTTAGCGAGCTAGCCTACTGCTTTAATTCAGCTTCAGAATAAATGTATCACACAGCCACGCATGGAAGTATGTCATATGCCGATATTTTAACACAGTACAGCCATGCAACATCAATGTCAATTTCACGAATTTGTGGCGACACATCCTGTTTTGGTAACCGGATATTTCAAAATAAAAGTCTGATTTGATTCAGGTCATACACAAATCAAACTTTTGCATGGGAACACAAAACAATATTGCGAGGTAATTCAAAAGTATTGCGTGGGAACGCAAAAGAAAAAAACAATCTCCCGTGTCCCCTCGCAGGCTCTGTAGCACGTAACTGTTATACAGTTTCCATGTTTTTATAAGCTTAAACTGCAGCAGCAACAGCTAGCTGTAGCACTTCCAGTGCAGACTCCAGTGTAGTCAATCTTTCCACAAAACTTCACTTCAGCAGATCTGAACAATTTACGCCTTATTTAGCCTCAATTAATGCATTTGGAGAAAGTTTAACATACACTTGGGCAGCAAAGACTCATGGGACATTTCATAAATTGATAAAATATGAGTATTTTTGCTCTTATAAAGTGTGAACATCTTCATGTGTGCTTAAATTAAATCTGCATGTCTCTACTTGTATTTCATGTTTAATCCTAAAATAATTCAAAGATAAAGTAAGCACCACAACTACAACCTCTTATATGGTTACTGGGCCAATAAAATAAATGAGCGTAAGTGAAAATCCAGTGTTTTTACACAGGGCACCCCTCAACCTTAAATAATGATGTTTTCAAGGTTAAAAAACTATTTATCAATGATTCAGGTGAAACTATTATAAAGTGTTTGAGTGCAAACTGACAAACTAATTCATGTGTAAAAGTTGAGTCAAAATTCACCCTATTGTCTTGTGTTTGGAATCTGTTCTGAATTGTGTGTTTTGTTTTGTTTGTTTTTACTATCAAATTAAAGTCTGCATACTTTGCACAGTCTTAAGTTTAATATATCAAAACATTTGTTTCAATCATGAATAGCGTGCTGTGGCCTTTAGTACTTGTAACTGGCATGTTTTTTTTATTATTATTATTAAACTGTTTACAAAAACTTTCCATGAATAAATTCACTGATATCTCCTCAATCCCTTCAAAACATTGTTCAGTTTAATGTGCAGCATATGTGCTGTTATTCTCTTCCTTAAAGCTTTTAGCTACTGTCATACAGATTTCAACTATTAGCTAGTGTTTTGCTTATTTTAGCTTTTAGCTACAGTTTTCTTAAACTTAACTCTTAACAACCATTTGCTTTCCTCTGTAGTTTGCTCATTTTAGTTTTTAGCTGTGGTTTTGCTAATTTTCCATTTTATCTATGGTTTAGCTAATTTTAGCTTTTAGTTACAATTTGGCTGCATTTACTGTTTTGTAGCTTTAAGCTACTGTTTGGTAGCTTGTAGCTACTGTTTGGCAAACTTTTAGCTGCAGTTCTACTGATTTTAGCTTTGAATTTGTCCATTTTAGCTTGTTAAAATTGCAGTTTACGTAGTTGCTTTTTGATTTTCCCTTTTCTATTTTTCACTGTAAAAACGAATGAAGTTAGCTGAAATAAACTATGTGCGTGTGTGTACGTGACAGAAGTGGTGGGAGCACGCGATGGGGTACGGGTGGGGGGCAGACAAGCTTAACACCTGCTGGTACAGCCTGAACTCAGAGCGTGTTGTAGCACAGCGGCCTTCGGTGCAGTTGTCTTTGTAAGAGCTTTATTAAACTGTCAAACACATGAGTCATTAGCCCTGATCTGCAGATTGACAGTTTGTCAGCTCTGACGGCGGCYTGCGCCTCGCTGTCAACATGGGGGTGGCGAGGGAAACAGCTTACACGTTCCCCATGGCTTTGCCGTCTTCCGTGTCTCCTGCGTTTCCGTCTCCTTCCCACCCCCACATGTCAACCCAGGTGCTAACGAAAACCGAGGATTCTGGGTAGTCTTGGAGCATATGGGTGGGTGGGGAGCTGGGTGGGGGGAGGAGAGGCGAGGGAGAAACTGTCAGGCTGCCTGTCCTCATCACGGCAGCCACGAGAGCGAGGTGGACAAATGGATAGCTGCTCTTTCAGAGTGCCAGGGAGACAGAGCACCTTCAGATTTGACCCGTTGATTCGCGCACAAATCATCACACTGATGCAGCTTTTGGTCTTGCTTGTTTTTGAACTTTATTCACACAAAATTTTTCTGATTGTTCAGTCATTTATTAAGCGAAGTTCATGGTGCTCAAACAGACACACAAGTGAACTACGAGTGCGTTCATGTGGATAAAGTTTGAAGAGCACTTTTTTATACATATGTTATAGTTTGCTGCTTCCTGATGATTGCTTCACTCGTATTTCTTAGCTGTCCTTTCCTCAGTTTACATTACATACTCATGTCTTTCTCTTGCTTTTTTTCCAGGCTGTGCCTTCCTCACCTACTGTGCCAGAGAGTCAGCCCTGAAAGCCCAGAATGCATTGCATGAGCAGAAGACCCTGCCAGGCGTAAGTCATCCACATACATATCGCAGAAGCTTCACTCAGGAACATATCTTAGATTTGATTAGGCACCAAAATAAATAAACATGCAAATATTCCCGATCGAAGAGGAATCTCCACCTCTGCTGATCCTGGGTCGAACAGAAGCCAGATATGAGCGCAGCTCGTCTTTTTCTTGAAGACGCCTTCCTCTGGCTCCCTCTCCCTTCACTTTGACAGTCACATACTCACAAAGCCATAGGGAAAAACCACACAGCATCACATCATAGGCATACTATTTATAGTCCTCCCTTCAGTTTGTGTAAATGAGTGAGTGTGTGTGCGCGTGTGCATGGGTGTGCGTGTGTGGGCAAACATCTGAGATAGGCAGAGCGGGATGAGAAGTGGGTGGGCGGACGGATGCAGGCTCTCTCTGCGTTTATGTGCACGCTCTGCATTGTGACGCAAACGGGAAGCGGGCCTCGGGAATGCATCGCGGCAGCACATCTCCACAACAGATGTTCACACACTGGGAATGTTATTAGTCTCATGTACGGTGCATCTGGATGCAAAGCATGCTCATTTGAAAGCTTAGATCCTATTCATACGTGATGGATGGAGAACGTTCTGACTCCGTCACAGAAACAGATATTTGTTCATTAGAAGAAGGTATGTGTGAGTTTTGAAGGCTTTTTTTTTTAGTATACTTAATTTTATGGTTTCACACTTGCATGTGCTAGTGCGTGCCTTTTACTTTTTTTAATAGTATGTGCATGCACCTGAGCGCTTGGCATGTGAGTGCACTTGAGAGTGGTGCCTGCGCTTTGGTGTGCGGAAGGAAGTTTTGATGCGTTTCTGTCAGGCCCGGCTCGGTTTGCTCTGTTCGTTTTTAATGACGCCTCCAGGGAAGCTGACAGTCGTCGTGTTGAGCGCACAGCCTTTGATGTGAGTGATTATGACATCACAGACGTGCAGTCGAGAAGAGCGGAGGAGTGGGGATCCGTGCTCTCCTTTTTTTTTCCTCTCCTACTTCCCAGTGGCATGTTATTCAGAGAGAGAGGAGGGAGGGTGGGACTGAAACACACTGAACGTGAGGAGGAGGAGAGATTAAATATTTGGCCAAAACCAGAATTTTGTGTTCACAAAATAAGCGCTGCCTGTTTACATTCTTGACTTCGTTGCTTTTTGTCTGAATATTTTTGGTACAAGCCAAACAGCATTTTGTAAGATTAAGAGCCTAACGTTCCTTAAAGGAATGCGTATCACCCACCGCCTTTCATGTCAGTTTTAGATTGAGATTAAACTATGCTGAGAAATAAACAGTAGTTGTAGTTATTTTGGTCAAACTTCGACACTTACATTATGCGTGATCTCAGTATGTGTTGTGACTGACCCTCAGCGGCCAGTACATCAGATTTTAGTGTAATATACATGAATTTGACTGAATTACAAACATTTAAGTGTTTCCTAAGGTCATCTTGCTGTAGTGACCATCTTATATTGGCTAAATCCCAAAGTTAAACAGTTTTAGCTACATCTAATTAACTACTGAATATTTTAATCAAATCCGCCCATTACGGTTCATGTGATCTTTTGCGAACAAACAGACTTTGTTGACTTCAAATAGTAGCTTAGCAGCAAATTTTGAAATAGCTTTTGCGTAACTTGTTAAGGTGGAAGTTCAGATCTTTTGAAGTGGGGTTCTGTGGAAACTTTGTGAATTGTTAAAGTGTTAAAGTGTGTTATATWGCAACAGTTTGGAAAATGAAGAGTTTAACTTTGACTGAAATGACAAGCTAACAGCTAGGAGCCAAACCACTAGAGACATTTTTTGTTTTTAGGTTAGAGCTGACATAAGTAGGGATGCAATGTTCGATTCAAATCTTTTGGACCATGAACGATAAGAACCGAGTTGTGGATAGTCACAAGAGCCGTTCATTGTTTCATTATCTTTTTACTTGTCGTAATACTTTTATTTTTTCCTCCCTAACCACAGAGATAGATGCTCCTTCACTTTTTCACGGAGAACAGGCAGAGGGTTGCAGTAGCTCAAGGGGAAAGTGGGAGGGGTGTTCTGCTTTAACAATTTATGATATAAATCTCTATGTGATGACGTAATTCATTCAAAATTGAACGACTCTATGAAACAAACAGCTTGTCACGATCTGGATCCATTCAAAGAGCCCTTCGCTCCATCTCTAGACATAAAACAGTAACAATCCACTTTGGTCTTGGTCCTGTTTGGATTAGACATTGGTTTGTCAATCTGATCAGAAATAAACTCGTATTTCCACAAATTGAGGTTATTCAACAAGGTATATATAAAAATAATTGTTTGTAATCTTTCCAACACCCCCCCCCCCCCAAATTCAAAAGGTCTGAACTATTGCTTTAAACAGGAGGTAACAATGACTGATAATCAACCTGGTTGAAGAAGGAGATGTTTATAAGCAATAACTTTGCCAGCAGAGGACAGTTGAAGGTTTGCTTTTGGTAATTGTGAAGTAAATAAATGTAATCCCATCAAACATTGCCAGATGCTAAGCAAACCTTGAAACGGAGCCGTCGGAAGGCAGAAAAGTAAACTGTCTTTTGTTTCTGGTAGAGGTGAAGCCTGCAAACAGAATAAATGAGTTCATTAGAAACCGAGCGAGGACTCGGCCCTGAAAAAGAGAGAGGGACGTTTTATGGCTCTCGACTTAACCCCTTTGTTGTTGTTTTTCTTCTTCTCTCTTTTTTTAGCCTTTATCAGTCCTTCACTCTCAGGCCAGCACAACCAAAACAATACATTAAAATCCCCCCCCCCCCCCCCCACACACACACACACTTTTTGGATATTTTTTAGCTTCCTCCCTCCTTACTTTATGTCGTGGTGCCCTTTCATCATCAAAGATCCTCGCCACCACTTCTATTTAAAGTTTTCCACCCAGCCTTTTTCTTTTGGCTGCCAGGTGAGCTGAGAGAAAAGGGGATTTTACCTCCTAGTGGAAATGCCTGGCGAGCATGGCTGCAGGCTGTTGATGTTGTGACAGACAAAACTCTGAGGGGCTGCCTTCTGAGGATGCGTGCGAGTGCAGCTGAGTGTGCGTTGTGTCAGGAGAAGTTTTGGATAAACAAGTGACAAACAAAAATACTGATATTGGACCGCGTAGGACCACAACTCTCATTCTCTAACAGAAACCACATTATATACTCTTCATCCTGCTTAAAACAAATCTAGAGTAGAAAATAAAACGTCATTTTCTGCATCACAATAACTTAGATTCAACACATGTAAGGATTGTATATCAATATTGGAGACTAAATGACAACTCCAAATTGTGAGAAAATAGGAAAATCTTCAGTAGCAATTTTACTGAATTCTGATAGTTTGAAGCCAGGCAACCAGTGAGTCGTGTTTTTTTGAAAATCACAGCCTATTTTTGTGAGCACAGCTTGCAAACTGTATTCTAGGCAAGCACATTGTTTTATTGCCCACCTCCGCCCACATCATACCTGCCTCAGCATGCTTTGTACCCACTCAGGTTTATGTTTAATCTGCTGGAGTACACTTTTAAAATGAAGACATGGACATTTGAACCTTTTTTATTATTATTTTTAATTATTATTATTATTATTTTTATGATTGGTGTGTTATCTAGACGTAAACCCAAGACATTTTTTCAGTCTTAAAACTTTATTATAACTCATTATTTCAGAACTATAAAACTATGTGCTAATGTCACCATTGTGTGATTTTAGTAGTTATTACCAATGTGACCAGGTTAGTGTTTTCATAAGCTAATTGTTTCTCAATTTGCTTGTAATCTCCACCAGCATTGTTTTATGCAACAGTAGCCTCACACTGGTATTGCTGTAGTACCACAGTTCTCAACTGCCAAAAAAAAGTTTATTTCTGAATTTTATTAAACTTCAGGAGGAGAAATACAGATTCCTGCACACCCCTGGAACACTAACTCTACCCTTGCAGAGTTGCTCAGGGTATATTGGGGGGTTTTATCATTCTGCCCACGTGTGCTTTGTGGACTTTGCTTATGGCTGTGTCCCCGAAGAATCTCTGTGAATAACCAGTTGGTTTATGTTCCAACCCTCACATCCAGTTATTAGCTTTGGCCAGTGACCAAAAGAATAAAAATGTGCATCAATCTGTGCTTTTTACTTTTGAATTTCCAGTGTGTGTGACTTCCCACACACTGGAAACACAACGATCAGGCTTCGCATTTTAAGGGTCAAATATTTTTGAAATGAGATTTTGTTTAAAGTTTATGAACAATTATTATCTTACCAGTTGTAACTAATTAATTTGCATTTGCTTTGAATGTGTGGCTTGAATGCTTTAATGCTAAGAATTTTTTTACTTGTATTTTTGCAGAAGAAAAAAACAAAATTTCACTAAAAAATCTAATTTGATGTTAAAAAAAGCTGAAATAAGCAAAAAAGTAGCTTAAAAGTACCTAAAAAAGCTAAATCTAGCACAAAGAAGCAAAACAGCATGTTTGCTAAATTATGCATTAAGAACCTGAAACTATCACTGAAAAGTGAATTTAGCTGAAAAATGCTAAAATAGCAAAAAAAAGTAGATTAAATTGCAAAAAAATGGCTGAAAGAAGCATAAAAAGGCTTAATTTAACAGAAAGAAACAGAAAATTGCAAAAAGAACATACAAATATCTGAAATCAGAAAAAGCTAAAGTTACCAAAGAAAAAATCTGAAAGAAACTGTAACTAGCACAAATAAGTTTAAAAAAGGCAGAACCAGAACAAATGGTAAAAAGGGGTGTAAACGTTTACAGCTTTGAAGGGTTTTATGGATGTTAAATTAGGCTCTATTTATTTTTAATGAGAAAAAGAAATGTCCAAAAATGCAAAATATCTAGTAAAATATAAACTGCTGAAATACCAAAAGTCAATGTCCTGAAGGAGCTGAAGATTTTGATATATAATTTGTTAAAATAGGACAAAGATTGCAGAACGTAATACATGCCAAGATGCACATGGAACAAAATGGATAATTTTAAGCATTGAGACTATTAGCTTTTTAATCCAACTTAGTTCAGAATATAAATTCTACTTCAGACCAGATGGATGAGCTGATAGAGAGTATGAGTGGGGAAAGAACAAAGTGCATTACTGTTGTCTTAAAAAATATGAAATTACAAAATAATTTCAGTGTTTCATAAAACTTTACATTACTGTCCATTTCATATTGTGTGGCTTTTACAAGTGCAGGCAGTAAAAGTTAGCTGTAACTCTTCCAGTGATCCCAGCAGAATTATATTGATATTTCTGTATAATGTAAATATGACAATGATAAAAAGATTTATAAAATAGCAATCACGAAAATCACTGTGATTTCTTTTTATTAATATTATTTGAGTTGTTTAAAAATGGTAGCTATCCTTTTTGGTTTTAACTGTTACAAGTACCCATTGGCTCACCGGTATGGTCAGAATTAAACTTTATTCTCTGAAGTGAAGTAATTCAAAAAGCTATCTACAACAGGTAAGATGTTGATTGTTCACAACCTGCCCACAAAACATTTTAAAAGTAGGGGTGCAACAATACATGAACCTGTATCGAACCATATCGAACCGTATCGAACAGTGTTGTATCGAACAATACAGATTTTTTAAATTTACTTTATCAACTTGTCTTCTGAAGCTGCTCTGTGTTGAAGGATCAGTGGATCTGTGTTCGACTACTCCACCTAGGCTGCATTTTTGAGRGCAGYTCCACTGAGAAACTTGCTGTTTCAGCAACATTTAATTWAAAAACTGTACTTTTGAGGTTAAACAAATTTTCATAATTAATTTAAAGAAATTACAAGTTTAAAAGGGCATGGAAATTTCTCTTTTTTGTATCAAAAAAAATATCGAACTGTCAGACTAAAGTATCGAGCCAAACTGAACCATGAATTTCCTGCATCGTTGCACCCCTAATTAAAAGATATGAAACATCACTTCAAGCTCCTCTGGCTGCTCTATATGTTAAAAAGCTGTCACAAATTTGTTTTGTTGGGTTAAAAGAGAGACTGTATTCTCATTATTAAATGTAATTCATTGTTTTTATGATTCATGAACAGACCTACAGTAAAACAGTCAGTCCAAATTGTTGATTTCCAGATCTTTACTGTTGTTGTTAAAATCTTCACTCCTGTTTTAAAACTACAGCAAGAAACACTGAAAAAGCTCCTTCATTGATTCCGGAAAGATGTTCTCACAAGTGGGTGGACGTGTTTTTGTGAACACATTTGTGTGTGCTTGTGTGGGTCACAGGGMGGAATTGTAAAGATAGCAAGTGCTGCAACACATCCTCCCGCACAAGAAGTCAAATCGCAAAAATAAAAAGCTAAAAAAAAAAGTACAATAAAAACAGATCTGGCATCCTCCCAAACAAATTGTCAATGTAAAGGTCAGAGAACTGGCACATGCCCTACTCAGTAGCCTGCAGTCCTGAACGCTCAGTGGCCCGTTCCATGTTAGAAAACACACAGGTACAGTGCAAAACACACCGCAGATACTCCCAGCACGCTCATATTCCTCACCCGTCTCTTGTAACTGCAACACAACACTCCTCGTAAACGCTCCCATTCAACCACACGACACTGTAATCCTCAAAGAAAGAGAAAAGACGGGAGGAAAGAAAGAGGGGGAACGTGAAAGAGAGAGGCAGAGAGGGAGAGAAATATGGCGTTGATTGACTCTCACTGTAATAGTGAGCCAGATGAGAAAATATAGAACACTGTGAATCAATGCGTCATTTCAGGGCGCGTACACACACACACACACACACACACACACTCACACACTCACTTCAGAGCGATGGAGTATTTGCTGGTTCCTGATTCGCTGTCTCTCACCAGGAAGCTGGCCTCCCTGCAGCGCTGCAGCTGAGCCTCAGCCTGCTGCCGACTCACACTGCCGTGGTACCAGCTTGGGGGGGGGGGGGGGCAGAGGGACAGTAGATTATTAACATATAGTACAGTGACATCTGGAGTTCAGTCACACACTGAGTACATGATATGTAAAAACAACAAGTAGTGATGGATTAAAAGGGAGAAATGAGACTCGCATGTTTGATGTGAAACAACAACAACATGAAGTATTCAGACTCAAACTGCAGGCAGGAGCCATATTTAAACCTTTACAGCTTTAAACCCAAACCTACTCAACTGCAACATAATATGATAAATTCTGGTGGGTATGGGGTTCCATTTGTGCCAAAAATATGGGNCACACACACACACACACACACACACACACACACACACACACACACACACAAAATGTTTTCAGCCTGGGGGCAAACAAACTAAAGAAAAGACAGGACAGCAAATGAATAGCAGGAGAGAAGAAAGTGGAAGGCGTGTTTGAAGGCAGGCTGGGGTGAGTGGGTGGATGGAGGGAGTGGGAGAGGTATAGATGAGGTGCCTCRGTACCGACTCATTTGTGTCTGTTTCTTTCTTTCTTTCTTTTCTTACCCCCACCCCCTTCACTCAGTTGAGATAATGCCAGGGCAAGAAATCCATGGCATTGATTGGAATCCTGCGACCCAGTTTCATGGCAGCTTTTTCTCAATAAGTCACCCTCATTGGTCAATAACTGCCAGGCTCCCCAGGTGAAGTGGGTGAAAAGGTGTTTGAATGGGGGGAGAGGGGGTATTAGGAGGTGTTCAGTTATGATTTGTTTTCCCCTCAGCGTGCAAAAGTACACCAAATCACTCCTTACTTGTAGGTTTTAGATTAGTTGTGCCATGTTCAGGAGGCATAGCTTCACGTCGATTGTGACTAATGCCGCGGACTGTGGAGCTTCTCCTCCCTCTCTCCCTCTCTCTCTCCCCCTGAGCCTTCACCTCATCAACTATCCTAATCACCCTGATCTAAAAGAAAACCATTTGCCACATAATGTGTTCCACCTAATGAATACACAATCACTGACAGGGAACTGGAGTAGACCACAAGCAAARTTGAACTAAAACGACTCCAACTTTCAAAATCTATATGCAGACTTTTGACAAAGATGTGTAGATTTTTCAAACACATACGATACGTCAAATAAAAAAATTACAAACTGCACGAGCTAGCAGTGGTCTGGGTAACAGTTTTTGTGTTAAAACCATTTCTAAACGAGGGTGAATCTGGCAGGTCATAAGGCTGCATTAAAAAATTCTTATGGGTCCACCTTAARGGACAGCAGCAGGACAAAAGACTTTTTGAAAACACTGTTTGTGGATAAACCCATCACAATTCATTATTTCAGCTAAGTTTCCCTTTAAAACCCTATAAAGGGACTCATTTTTGTCATATTACATACAAAATGTGGCTTATTGCTGTGGTTTTGTGCACCTTTGGTTTGGGGGCCTTTTGTGATTTAGATTAGACTGGCCAATTCCAGTAAAGGGTTATCATAATGCTAAAGCATACAATTATATGCTGATTATATCCAAGGCAATAATGTGGCTCCAGCCTCTTGGCAGCAGCTGCACTTTTGTTCTTTCAACATGACAGTGCCTTTGTGAACAAAGCACAAACTCAAATAATACAGTCTGGAGTGGAGCAGCAGAACGGATCTGTAAGGAGGCATTGACCTCAACCTCATCAAATGTCTTTCGGACGAACTGAAAAGATAACCGTATTTAGGCTTTAAGTGGAGGCTGACAGAGTGACAGATAACAGATTATTGCCTATGGTTTGGGGTTTGATTGATTACATGATTGATTTGTGTAATGAACTATACAGCGTCTAGTCCAAATGAGCTGAAGCTGTCAGTACGGTTTAATTCAACTCATTTAAAGTGCTCTCTGGATTGTCGAATGACATGTGAAACCTTTTTGTCATGTACTCAAAGCATCAAACGATGGGCCTAAATTTACATGAATGTCAAGCTACATGAAGATTAAATATGTTTTTATMTATCTATTCATTCATTTAATTTTTTACCATTTTGTCAAGACTGGGTTGGAGAGGCAACAGCTGAGTTATTATCTCCCCAAGGAATGCTGGGTTTGTCCGAGATTTCGCAATGGAACATTTCTGAGACATCTCCCTTAGAAGATGTTCAGAAGGCAACATTATTTATTTATCATTATTTAACCAGGCAAGTCCCATTCAGATTGCAGGTCTCTTTTTCAAAGGCGGCCTGGACCTGAAGGCAGCCTATTGTACATGTTTTTGTGTTGTGGGGGAAACCGGAGTACCTGGAGAAAACCCATGCAAGCACGAGGAGAACATGTAAACTCTGCACAGAAAGACCCCAGGTCTGAACCGGGGATCGAACCCAGGACCTTCTTGCTGTGAGGCCTTGGTGCTAACCACTGAGCCGTCGTGCTGCCCATTAGGAGATACCAAGTGTCTCTTTTCATTGTGGAAAAGCAGCAACTTAACTTTAAGCTCCTCACAAAAAGATGAGCATTTTCCCTTCACCTTAGCTCTTCTTAACCATTACTTGACTRGTCCCAATCCACCTACCAGTCTCCCACTCTGTTCTAACCCCACTCTTAAGTAAGACTCGGAGGTTCTTGAACAGATTCACTTGTGGCAGAAGTTCATTTCTATCTTCGAGTTGATCCACCCTTATCATTGCATGCTGGAGGTCTCAACTAACGTCACTTTTACGTTGTCCATTCTCAGCAAAACTCACTTTGTCCTATACTGACCTTACTCAGTTATGCATGGTCTCAATAGTTTTACAGAGTTGCCTCGAGGTAGGTGGGTTGTCACAAGGCAGCCACCCAAAATTTATGATTAATAAGCAAGTGAAAGAGAAATAATGTCACAAAACATTCACCATTCTCTGACACCGTTAGCAAAAATGCTGTGATTGAGTTGAAATCCACCCTTTTTCTCTGATGGTTGAAGCTTAGAAATTGAGTCCTTTTTTTGTCTACCTCTATCTGAATTCTGTCTTCAACCAAAGACCACAGAAAAGGCTGCACCTTCACTTAGTATCACATTTTGTTTTGTATTTTCTTTAAGTAAATAATAATTTCAAAAGGCACATCTCTCTTGGAACCTCAGCTGGGCAGGTGAGTGGAACTGCCCAATGTAGACAATGAACCCACACCAAGCCGACTCAGAAAGGGTAGAGTTGGGCAAATGTAAAAGGGTCATATAGGTCTAGAGGAGTACATCATCTGCAAATAATGTGGTCTTTTAGGCAAAGAGTTGCAATACAGTCCAAAGCTCCCCAATCTCAAGACCCTCCAACCCTGTTGTTTCACAGATAGCACCTGACAAAAGATAACAGATAACAATATAGAGCAATTCTGGTGTAACCCAACACTTAGACTGTGTCCAAATTCAGGGGCTGCATCCTTCAAAGGCCGACAGACAAACAGCTGTCCTAATTTGAACAATTTTAAATAAAAATCTGGCGACATAAAAATTAAAAGTTTAAAACGGTTGTGTTGTTAAAGTGCCTGTGACATGCTTATCCTTCAAATACAAAAAGTAAAAAAAAGATCTTTATATTTAAGAAACTTGACAAAATACACACAATTTTAACCATTTTGTCGCATAATTGGCATTTTCTTTTGAACTAGGCTCAGTTAAAAGTGAAACAGGAAGTGACCTCAAACGAGAACTCTTTTAGAAAGAAAACTCTGGTCTTTGTTTATAGAAATGTTATTTCTGTCTTGAGTCAAAATAATCTAAATAAAAATCAGATTTTTGTCTACAATCTGGATTGTTATTGTAGCAAATCTCTGTTCACATGCAGACATTCCCCTTTGACATCACTTCCTGTTACTTCGCATGCAAATATCTCAACAGACGTTCATCTCACTGATGTGAAATTTTTTTGCAATATTTTATCAGCGTCCTGTTTCCAAAAATGCATTCATACTTATTACAAGAATTTGATGTCACAGGCACTTTAATGCTTTTGTCATTTGGGTAAGGGTGACAATAAAGCTGATGGCCAGGCCATCCAAATTCACAGCCACTTTTTTCCGGTCTTCATAGTCGACCAAGGACCTTTGAAGGATGCAGCCCCTGAAATTGGACACAGCCTTAGTGAAAATCAGTCTTATCATTTACCAGAAATACAAACATTCACTCTTATTGTACTGGGACAGAATGGTCTTCAGTAGGGCCCTCAAGACCCCGTTCTCCTGAAGTACAGCCCAAAAGACATCACAAGGGGCATCATCCTAAGCCTTCTCCAGGTCAACAAACATGTATTCTGGTTGGACAAACTTCATTCACCCTCAAATATTCTTGCAAGGGAAAATAGCAGAGATCCACAGGCCTTTTTTGCCATTTCTATATAAAATATCCAACACTGCTCTCTGTATGTAAACTGTTCTTGCATCTCACACCACTTTTTGACTTCGTGTCTCACTGTGAAATACAGCTGTTCCGCACAGCTATAAACACTTTGTCTCCCAACATGGTTGCATCATATTATGTTGTTTTCTTCAACACTACAGAGCCCCATATCTTTTTAAGACATTAAGTGCTTAAACGCAAACATAAAGGAAGATCCACTTTGCATAACAGGAATGCTTGAACGGGATTTTCAGTAATCTTGTTTGAGTTGTTAGACGTCAACATAATTTTGACCGTGTATGAAAGCTTTGGTTAAACCCCTGTGAGGTTTAAAACATGAATGGTGCTGTAATTGTACCGTCATTACAAGCCAACACACCATCCCTTGTCATATAAAGTCTGAATGCTCCCATTATCATTAGGCTTCAGGCCTGATGTTCCAACCTCCCATTGCCAATTGGAGTTTGAGCAGATTGTACAAATGAGAATGATTCATCTGCCTCGAGGCTGCAGTTCACTATAGTCCAATAAGCCAATTAATTTTACAAGTGGCGGATGCTACCCTCTGGGTCAATAGATTGATGATCCATATGTGAAATTATGCACCTTTTAAAAGTGTGGTGCATCCGGTGTCACAGTGATAACCCAGTTTTTAATGTAATCTCA